AATAACTACAACAACAACAACTGCAGCAACTTTTCTTATTGATTATTGCTATTGCTATTATTGCAACAATAATAACTGCAACAACAACAACTGCAACAACTTCTCTTATTGATTATTATTATTGCTATTACTGCAACAATAACAACTGCAACAACAACAACTGCAACAACTTCTCTTATTGATTATTATTATTATTGCTATTACTGCAACAATAATAACTACAACAACAATAACTGCAACAACTTCTCTTATTGATTATTGCCATTACAATAACTGATTTTCAAATGGCTGTTGCATTTGGTGATCAACATTTGGAGAAACTTTATCAGCAATCACTTTTGGTCCATTCTCGTGCGCATTTGTTACATTTACAATGCATTTGGATTGCATATTATCTATTTATTGCATTAATTCATTTATTACAATTTGATTTTATGCTAATTATTAATGTAATTAGTGCTATAATATGTATTATTTTACAAGCTTTCCTACTTATTAAACCAACATTTATTCGTTATATATTATATGGTACTGTACAATTACTTGCAACAACAACAATTGCTTTATTACCGTATGGTTATTCAGCACTTTTACCTATTTCATTAGTAATTTTTACAATTTATGGTTTAATACCAATGAAAATTATTTATTCATCAATTATTTGTTCCACTTTATCAGTGCTACAATTACTTGCGATAATTTTTCTTACACAAATACCATTTACAATAAGTCAGGTAATCTTTGCTCTTTTTTTTTTTATTCTTTTAATTTTTCAAATTAAATAAATTTTATTTTTGCTGAAATTAAACAAATAAATGAGTTAATTTTTTCATTTAGTTAAATAAATAATGAATATAAATAATAAATGAGTAAATGATTATAGATAATTATCATTAAATGATAAATTAAATTGTTTTGGTTTTTTTTTTTATATCAAGGTTTTTTATAATGATTAAATTAGTTCGATCGATTTAAACTGTAATACTATGTAATTGTATATTTATATTACTAATTAATTAATTTGGTAATTTTTAATGGAATTCTTGATTTCTAATTTTATTTTAAATTCATTGCTTTTTTGTTTTTTTTTTAATTTTGATTGAAAAAAAACATTAATTCGAAAATTGGAAAATGGCAAATTTTCAATTTTATGCACTAATTATTGCCCAATTTTCGCCTTTTTTTTTCGGTTGTTTATAAAAGAGCAAATTTAAGTGGATTAAATGAAGGGAATTTAATTGATAACATATATATATATTTTTCGATATATTTTATTTGTTTATAAATTTGCTCAGCATTATCGATAATTAATTAATTAATTAATTGACAGATCAAATGAATTTTACATTTGACGAATTTACTTTACACTTATTGTTTAATGTGAAAGTAAACAAAGTATCTGTTAGCTAGCAATATAGAAGTAATAGATTGTCTATTACATTATCTGTTCTCTGTTTAATTCAATTTTGCTTTCAATTTCAATTTCGATTTCAATTTCAGTTTCATTTTTCGTTTATTTAAAAATTATTTTCACAATTAAATCTTCCATTTATGTTCATTTTTTTGGAAAAATTTTTTCAACGAAAACAAAAAATACCTCAAATACATCAGTGAATTATTGAAATTTTAATCTTTTAATTTAACAAAAAAGAGAATAGATGATAAAGGAAGAGAGAGGGAGAGAGAGAAAGAGAGAGAGAGAGGAAAAGAGAACGGAAATGACAATGATGAAAGAAAAAAAACAAATTATTGAAAAAATGATGAATGAAAATTTTCAATGTTACAATATTCATTTTAATTCTGTCAATTTTTTTTATCAAGAAAAAACATTGAACTGATAAATGATAAACCTTTGTGATAAGCTAAATGATGAGCTTTTTTTCTTTTTTTTTTGCCCGCAATTTAATAAAATTACAAAATTTTATTTTTTCTTCAATGAATAAAATTAAATTGAAATTTTAAAATAAATATTATAAGTATTATTAAATAATACTTTTTTTATCTTACTGAAACTAATTATCATTGCCATTTTTTATGATTTATATAATTTTCTAAGCATGAAATATAATTTTAAAATAATTAATCAAAAATCGAAATTATTTAAAATTTTTTTTTCTTTTCATTTACGGTTTTTACAGCATGAACAGTGATAGAAATAATGTTTGAAGTTTTATTTTTAATTTCTTTTATAAATTTCGAATTTTTTTGTAATTTCTTGTATAAAATTTAAAATAAAATTAAAATTTTTTTCCTTATATAAAATTCAAATTTCTAAAATTTTCAGACAAAAACGAAAAATTCGCTAACGATGAAGAAATTAGTTTAATTACTCATAAATCAGTATCATTCAATGTTGCCATTTTTCTTTCCTTTTTTTTTTTTTTTTCTTCGAAACATATTAACAATAATATTGTCCCAATTAATCTTCATCATTCATTAATTAATATCTAATAATTTTTACTTAAAACTTTTTAAAATTTTAATTTTTATTTTTGAAAATAAAAAATCAAATGTAATATTTTGGCAACAAAATTATGATCATTTTCCATTTTATTTATTAAATATTTCATTTTTTTTAGATAAAAAGAGAAAAATTCACTAACGATGAGGAAATTAGTTTAATTAAAATTACAATCATTTTTATTATAATCATTAAAATTATTTCATTTTTATTATAATTATTATAATTGTTTCAATTATTTCAATTATTCATATAATTTCTAGTATTATATTTGCAGTAATTTTTCAATTTTTTGATTTTTTATCAATATTAATTTTATATATCAATGTTAATATATTTTAATGGATTGCAAAGGATAAGAATGATTAAAGTTTCGACAGCTGTCCCAATTTCAATAATGTCATCATCTACGTGAAACATTTATCATTTCAAATATGGCATTAAATCATTTCTTCGTTTCAGTACAGCATTAAATCATTTCTTATTTCAAGTCTTCCATTTTTTTTCCTCCCTTACTAATTATTCTTCAAAAAAAAAAAAAAAGCGATATTTTTTCACATATAAAATTATTCAGTTTTATTACTTTCTTTTTCTCATAATTACTTTTTTTTTCGAATTTTTTTTTAAATTCAATTTAATCTTTATTTTTTTTGTTTCTAAAAGACCATTTTAAACAAATTCATCATTAATTGCCACTTCTTCTTTTTTTCTTGCCCATAAATTTTGAAAATGTATTTTGATTTGCTGAAATTTGAGTAATTTGAGCATTAAAATGGAAAGAAAATGGATAAAATTGTATGGCAAATGCAGATTTAGATAACTTAACTTTTTAAAAAAAGAAGAGAATGTTAAGAAAACAATTAATATTATTTGAATAATTAATTTTATTCTTTTCATTTCAAGTAAAAATTTTCTTCTTTTTCTTGTAAAAAAAATTTTTCTTTTCAAATAAAAATTTTTTTCTTTTCTTTTTTTTTTTTTGTTAATTTTTCTTCTAATTCTATTTTTTCAATTTTAATT